CTCTCTCTCTCTCTCTCTCTCTCTCTCTCTCTCTCTCTCTCTCTCTCTCTCTCTCTCTCTGTGTGTGTGTGTGTGTGTGTGTGTGTGTGTGAACGATCATACTAATACATACGAAGAATGAACAGAATCTCCAATTTTATCTACCTTACACAAGTCCTCCGTCTACATGTACTTCTCCCGCTCCCCTCTCCCCCCCCCCGCGTCATCTCACCTTCGTTCTATAAATAGATTCCGGCTTTCACACCTTTCTCTTCAAGAGTACGATCATGGCCGCCTCCAGTTCATCACCACCAGTCTTTCCAGTTCATGTACCCCGCTCGTTTTCTTTCCCGTTTTCCCTTTTTCTCCTATTCCCCCTTCAGCATTTTGTCCAGCTCAGCTGACATATGAAGAAACTGCTGTCTCCGTTTCCCCCCGTCGACTTGATTGATCCCTGCCCATTCGTGTTCCTCGCGTTATCAATCGCCAGCGTCGTGATAACGTTAAGTGCCCTAACGGCCCCACACGGAGAGGATGGGGCTCCGACAGGACAGGTGTGAGAGAGGGTGTAGGGCCGGCCAGAGAGTCCTCTCCATCCTCCAGCGAATCGGGACGTTCGCTCGCAAGCCGGGACCCCGCCCTGGTGGTAGTACTTGGCAGACTGTTGGGCGACCAGTCGTGGGGCCAGCTCCACCCAGCCGTGGAACGACCATCCGGTCGCCACATAAGACCAATCAGTTGGGTAAGTAAGGTCGACGATGACGTTGCAGGACTTCTGCCGCTCGGTTGCGCTTGTCGGGACGGTGACGCCGTAATTACTCCCAAACTGGATCTCGATCCTGTCATTACCTGAGATGGATACCGACGGGGCACTGCTTGGGCATTGCGCGCCAAGAACACGCACGCTGGCTATGGTGACCGACGGTGGGGTGGGGGCGAGCAGCTGACGCGGAAACGGCATTCGCCCAGCGGCTGCCACGTCACCCATCGTGATGCTAAGAAGCAACGACACCACTACCGCCATCTCCACCAGATGGTACGATTGCCTCCTCCATTCAGTTTGGACAAGTACTCTCGCAACAGTCATCACAATCACACCCACACCAGTAGGTACGATTGCCTTACCACCAATTCTCTGAGACTCTCTCTCTCTCTCTCTCTCTCTCTCTCTCTCTCTCTCTCTCTCTCTCTCTCTCTCTCTCTCTCTC